GGAGAGCCCGCTGGAGCCACCGAGTCCGGGAGCGCGGGGAGAGGGGGTCCGCCTCGGTCCCGCTGGGCTTGGTCCCGGGTCTGGGACCCCCGAGCCCGCTCCGCTCGCGGCGTCGCACCGGCCCGGCGTGGCGGTGGGGGGCGTCCGCGAGCGCAGGTGCCCTTGGCTGGCTCAGCGGCCTCGGGGGTCCCTTCCCTCTCCTGCACCGGTCACCTGTGGCTCCTGCGCCCCCTACGAGGGTGCCGAGAGGTCGGGGCTACGGTGGCCGGGGACCTGGGGTGCCTCCGGCCCGCACCCGACTGCCTTTAGCCCACAGCGGCGGCGAAGGGCTGCCTGGGCTGGGGGCCCGGAGGTCTCATGCCCGCGCGCTGGGGCGAGGGCTCCGCACCTGGGTGAGGCTCTGGCGCTCGGAGGCCTCCAGGAGCCGCAGCAGGAAGCTGAGGTCCGCGGTGTCGGCCTCGGCCAGGCGCTGCAGGTCCCGGGCAGCAGCCGGCGCGTCTCCCTTCTTGAGCCGGAGCAGGCCCCGCCGGGCCCGGGCTGCCTCTGACAGTGAGGCGGGGTGCAGGGTTTCTTGCAGGTGCGCTTCGGCCTCCTCGTAGCTGCCTGTCAGGGGTGCAAGCGCCGGCTTGGGGGGCGCCGCTGGGTGGGCTCAGCCCCCGCAGAAGCCGCTGGGAGCAGAGGCACCGGTGATTCCTGCAGGTCACATGGACTCACCTGCTGACCTGGCGCCCTGCCCCCCACTCCACGACCTTGGGCCCAGCAGCAGGGCTCGAACTCCTCACCGTGCCCCCCACAAGGGACTGCTGCACTGAGGGGGAGGGTAGGGGAGCAGCCCTGGGCAAATGCAGACTGCGGAGAGTGCCCCCTGCCAAATTAGTGCTGAAATGGTTTCCACGTCACCCGGGGGTGTACAAATCTGCAGGGAAGACCTAGGTTTTGGCACCTGGGGGCTTAGACAGTCCTGCCTAGAAGGGGCTGGCGTCACCTGGGTGCTCCATGAACAGCTGCAGGATAAATGCCTGAGTTACCGCGGAGGCCCGGGCGCTGGAGTCCTTTCCTAAACCCCGAGTCACTCCTTTGTTCCTCTTCTCAAGTCACAGAGCAAGAGCCATTTACACGCCAGGCCCCACACGGGGAGCAGGGTCACAGGTGATGGGTTTGGGGTGGGAGGGGCCTTAGAAGCCTTTGTGGTCCGGGTCTCTTTCTCCCATGTTACAGAAAGGAGCACAGAGGGCCGGAGGAGCGGGGAGACACCCAGATGCCACGTCCCTGCTCCTGCTGGCACATACCCCGTGCGGTGAGGATGTCTGCAAGGAGGATGTGCCAGCTCGGCCGACCCGAGTCGATTTTGGTCAGCGCCTCCGCCATGGCAAGGAGGTCCTGGGTGTCCTTGTCTCCGAGGGGGGGCCCGGTGTCCAGCAGCTGGCTCAGGAGGGCTCGGCAGCGGGTGTAGAGGCCCTGTGTGATGAGGGCCTGGGCTTCCGGCTTCAGAGAGCGGATTTCAGGGACCACGGTCCCCGGGCTCAGCTTCAGAGCAGAGGCTATGTCGTCCACAGCGTCCTGCGGGGAGGGAGGGCAGGGTGGGTGCAGACGTCGACCCCAGCACTGGGCAGAGGGATGGTGCTGGGAGGTCTTTCTCCTTCCCTATCCTTGGGTCTCTGGTCCCCTCCCTGGGGTCCCAGAGGGTCTGTCCCACCCAGCTTCCTGCCCCTTCCCATTCCCCATGGCTGCAGCCATTACACCCTCGTCCCGTTCCTGGTTGGGCATTTGAGAGGACCCAGCTCACTGGCCTCTGTCCCTGAAAACTAGCACTGGCCTCTGTCCCTGAAAACTAGCAGGCCCAGAACCCCCTTTCTGAGGCCGGACACTGCGTCCACCCGTCAGTGTGCCAGTCCCAGTCTCCCTGCAAGGCCCGAGTCTGCGGCCCCCTCCCTGGGAACCTCACTCTGCTCACAGCAGGTTCCGCCCCACGCCTGTCCCTGCCAGCAGGGACATCTCTTCAGCTCACAGCGGTGTCTCGGGAACTCGGCGGGTATCCGGGCGCCCTTCCCGGCGCCTGGGGCATTGGGGGCCCCTGAGAAAGCCCAGTTCCTGCCCCCCCCCTAGGGGGCAGCTGCAGTGAGGGTGCCTGGACCATCTGGTGAACAACACAAGGCAGAACATGGGGACGCAGCTGGGAAGAGTATCCGAGGTCCGGAGAGGGACAGCTCAGTGTGGAGCTGCAGAAGCTCATCCTGATGGAGAACCCGCGAGGGCTTAGGGGTGGCCGTGGGCAGCAGTGAGCACGAGGACTGAGTGTGCCCGGTGCAGGACAGGAGGGAGAAGAGGTCTCCGGAGGCCCTGACCACACACAGGAGGCCAGGGCGGAGGCTGGGCCCCTTTAGGAGAGCCTGGATGATTGGTTGATTGATTGATCGGGGAGGTTGTTTGCATCTGACCTCTGACCTGGCCAACAGTGGGGCCGTTGGGGCCCCCACATCTCCAAGTCTATCCTCCTACTGTTGGTTTCTAGTTGTCTTGTTTCTTTTTGTGCTCTGTTACTCCCTGCTTCCCTTCTTTTGGGTTAATTGAATATTTTTAGCATTTCATTTTAATTTCTCCACGGGCCTTTTAAAAACTATGCCTCTTTATATTGTTTTTAGCGGTTGCTCTACAGACCGCGGTGTGCGCCCCGCATTAACTGCAGTCTGTGGAGCTAACGTGCTGCTTCACAGAAAATGGAAGAATCGCACCACAATTTTGTTCACCCCCATTCTTTGCCATGTAAGGCAACAAACCTCCTCGTATGTTTTGGTTTCTCATTTAGATTGCTTTGTTCAGAGAAACTAAGAGGAAGAGCAACACTTTCCTCTGTATTCTAACACGCTCTTCATTTCCACCAGCGGAGACGTCCCTGGGCGTCAGTTCCCTTCAACGTCATCACCTTCCCTTGGCATTTCCTGGAGCGCAGGTCTGCTGGTGACAATCTCTCAGCTTCCATTTGTCCAAACAGGTCTTTAATATCACCCTCATTTTTGAAGGATATTTTAACTAGATAGAGAATGCTGGGTTGATGCCTTTTTCTTTTAGCGCTTTAAAGAGACCATTCCACTGTCTTCTGGCTTCCGTTGTTTCTGAGACCAGTCTGTCTCATTCATAGCGTTGTTCCACTGTATATAATTCTTTTTCCTTCTGGTTGCCTTTTTTATTTTTTATTTTTCGAGACAGACTCTTGCTCTGTCACCCAGGCTAGAGTGCCATGGTGTCATCTAGCTCACTATAACCTCAAACTCCTGGGCTCAAGCGATCCTCCTACCTCAGCCTCCTGAGTGGCTGGGACTATAGGCTCGCGCTACCACCGCACCCAGCTAAGTTTTCTATTTTTAATAGAGACGTGGTTTCTCCCTTGCTCAGGCTGGTCTCGAACTCCTGAGCTCCAGGGATCCTCCCACCTCACCCTCCCAGAGTGCTAGGATTACGTGCGTGAGCCACCATGCCTGGCCTCTTCTCGCTGGTTTTAAGATGTTCTCCGTATCTTTTGTTTGCAGACATTTGAGCAAGATGTGCCTAAGTGTGGGTCTCCTTGTATTTATCACCTCGGGATTTGCTGAATGTCTTGGGAAGTTTTCTGCTATTATTTCTGCACCCATGTGTATGTATTTGCCCCACGCTTTTTCCTTTTCCTCTGCTCCAATTACACATATGCCCGACTGCTTGAACTTGTCCCACAGGTCACTGAAGCTCTCTTTATTTCTTTATTTTTTAACGTTTCTCCCTGCTGTTCTTCAGATTGGATAACTTCTGTCGAGTTCACTAATCCTTCTTTGGCAGTTTCCAATCTGCCGTTAAGCCCATCCAACACATTTTTAATTCCAGATATTGTACTTTTCAGCTCTAGGATCTCAAATCCTTCTTTATAGTTTTCTATAAAGATTCTTTATAGCGTTTTCCACTTTTCTGCCAGGATTCTCCATGAGTTCACTCTGTATGGCAAAAATCTTCACATGTTTATAATCGCTGTGTGTAAACCCCAAACATCTTAGGGTCTGCTTCTGTTGGAGACTAACTTTCTTGACTATCGGTGACATTGCCCTGGTCACGGTTCTCTGCGTGTTGGGCAGGTTTTGGTTTCGTTGCAGACTTTGAGGTCGGTCTGCTGTCAGGAGCCTGGATTACGCCGCCGTCCTGTAAGTGGTGCTGAGCTCTGTTCTGCAGGCGGTTAAATTACTGGTGGATCGTTCGGCGCTGCCAGGCTCTGTTTCGTTCTTCGTTGGGGAGGTCTGTTTCAGTTTTAAACTTACTAAGGTGTGGCCTTTATTTTCGGGTGTGGCCTTTCTGAGGTCTCAACTGAGTGCCCAAGATGGTCAGAAAAGTCCCTCTGCTCTGACTGGGTCAGAATTCCAATGTCTCCCAGCCCTGCCTGACCGTGGTGTCACCATTCAGCTCTTGACGCCCCCATGGGTGATCCCTGCTGGCCTTTTGGGTTATGCCCGACGTGTGTGCAGCCAGGCCTCAGACGAGGCCCCCGGTGAGTCCCGTGAACACGTCTAGACCCCCCCTCTGCACAGCCCCCTCTTCTCCAGTGCAGCGCCGGGAACGCCAGTCTCTGCCTCCACAGCTCAGAAACCCAGGGCCCACCTCCTTGTGTGGTGGCAGGAAAGACCCCCAGGAAGGGGTTCGGGGTACCCCGGCAATCCCCTTAGGGGTTTCCTGTCTCCCAGGCATTGCAGCTCTCCCCTGCCTCGTCCAGTGCCTGGAAACAGTTGCTCACGTATTTTATGCAGTTTACATCGTTTTCAGGAGCCCAAGATTAGTTACTCTCTCACAGCCAGCACTGGAAGTTCGCCCACATGCTGGGGTTCTCTGGGGGTGGGCACATGGGGATGAGGGGGGTGGTCTTGGCCAGTGGGCTCCGGAGGGACAGAGCCCTGGGATGATGGAAGGAAGGAGGATGCTTTCTGACCCACCTTGCACCATGGCCTGGGCTCTCCCTGCCCTAGTGCTGAGCAGCGGTAACCCCGGATGGGCCGGCTGCCTTTGCAAGGGAAAAGCCCCATTCTGTTCCTGCTCAGGGAATTCCAGCTGCCGTGTATGAAGCCCTCACTATTGACCAGGCTCCAGGTGAGCATCCGGCAGCCTGGAATGAGCGTCTCCCACCCCTCACTTTGCCAGTGCTGAGACCAAGGCTCAGAGATGGTCCAAGGCTTTCTGGTCGCGCTGGAGGGGAGAGGAGAGGGCCGGGTGCTGGACCAGCGCCGGCTCGGAGCCGGAAGCCTTGGCTGTGAGGCGTACCCACTCTCTGGTTGAAGGCTAGGAGGGCCGGCGATCCCCAACACTCAGCCCGCAGCCAGGGTGCAGAAGTTCACCGGTGTGCCGAGGTGGGGTCCCTGCTCCCCTCTCAGTCCCGTGTCCTGGCTCTCTGACATCCAGGCTGACTTTCCCTGCCACTTGTCCTGTGGCCCTGGATGGAGCCGGAGTGGGGCAGGTCCTGAGTGTCTTGGAGAAGTCGTTGGCACGTGGGGACCTCCTATAGGCAGGTTTCCAAGGGTCCCTGTGGGTACATCCCGGCTGTTTAATGGGCTTGTCCCTGTCAACCACAGGTGCTTGTCCAGCGCCTGGAAGCGCAGGCAGAGAGCTGGCTCCCAGCCACAAACGCATGTCTCTCCCCGTTCCCAGGTGGGCACAGAAGTCCTGCTCATGGGTCCCAGAGAGACACAGACGCCCCAGCCGGGCGCCACCCCCCAAGGCTCTCAGCTTACTGGCCCCCGGGATTGCTTTTCCTTGCTTCCTCGAACTCCGACGCTTAAGAAATGAAGAAACCTGGCAGGCATGTTGCCGCTGGGCTGTGCTTCTACCCAGCAAAGCGTCAGGCAGGCAGCCAATTCCAGCGCTGCTCTTGGCTGGGAAGGGCCCTGTCTCTGGTGCAGGCCCCTTTGGCTGTGGCTGCCTCTGGGCAGGTCTCCCCCGTGAGAGCCACCTGTCTCCTCCCCGGAGTCGGACCCCTCCTGCGCCTGCGTTCTGAGAAGCCAACTCCGCAGGCCTGTGTAGACAGCTGCAGCTGGTGCCCAAGAGAGTGCCGGCTGGTCTCACAGGGAGCCACCCTTTCACCCTGCTGTTGGGAGGCGCAGACCCTCTGCAGCTGTCCCCCCCATCCAAGCCAAGGGTGATGGGGCGCTGTGGGGCAGCACCCGCATATTCCAAAGATGCCGTCCTCTGAGCCCAAGTGGGGCGGCCTCCAGTTTGTTTTCCCTGTGGTCAAACGTACGTAACAGGAGACCTACCGCCTAAACCACCTGTAAGCACTGTGCCGTGGCGCTAAGCCCGTCCGCACTGTTGTGCAGCCATCGCCACCGACATCTCCAGAACTTTCCCTTCTTCCCAAACTGAAACTCTGTCCCCGGCAAACACTAAGTCCTCAGCCCGCCAGCCCCTGGCACCACCGTCCACTTCCTGCCTCTGCGACGGGGCGTGCAGGGACCTCCCGCGAGTGGAATCGTGGCGCTTGTCCTTTTGCGTCGGGCTGACTTCACAGGGCGCCACGTGCTCAGGGTCCACGGCTGCAGCAGCCGTCAGCATTCCCGTCCTCGTTAAGGCTGCATGATAAATAGCCCACTGTGTGCATAACGCGGGCCTCACACCGTGAGCGAGGAAGTGTTTCTTCCTCTTCAATCCTTTTTGGAAAAGTCTGGGCAGGATTGGTGTTAGCGCTTTAATGTTTGGTGGAATTTAGCGGGGAGCCCTCAGACCCCGGGCTTGTCTTTGGCGGGAGATTTTTGGTGACTGACTCAGTCTGCGTACTAGTTACGGGCCTGCTCAGATTTTCTATTTCCTCCGATTTAGCCTTGGTGGCCTTGCGTTTCCAGGACTTTGTCCCTTGCATCGAGGTTATCTGACATTTTTAGCGCACAATGGTACACAGAACCCTCTTACAATTCTTTCTGTTCCCGTAGAATTGGTAACAATGGCCTCACTTTCATCTCTGACTGTGGTAATTCGAGTCTCTCTTAGTCCGTCTGGCAAAAGACTTCTCAGTGTCGATCTTCTCAGTCGGTTTTGTTGGTTTCTGCTGTTTTTCTGTCCTCGATGTCGTTTCTCTCTCCTCCTCTCTCTATTCTTTCTTTCTTTCTGCCAGCTTTGGGCTGATGTGCTCTTTTTCTCGTGTCTCACGTGGTGAAGCGGGGCCTTTGATTTGAGACCTTTCTTGCTTCCTGCCGGCGGGTGGTGTCTCTCGCCCCCGCACGGCTCGTGGGGTCCGGTCGCTGCGCTGTCATTCTCCGTCCGTGCTTCCCGACGGCCCTTGTGATTTCTCCTGTGACCCATTGGTTGTTTAGTACCTCTCTTCTTACAGAGGGGGAAACTGAGGCACAGGGCTGTGAAGTGACCTGGACCTGGGCCTCGCTCTTCTGGACGCCGGTGCTCAGGGGAGCGGGCCTGCGGTGAAGACTCGGGCCCGACGTGAGCCCCCAGGGTCGGACCGTGGGATACGGCGCAGCGCGAACAAGGGAGGTCCACAAAGAAACACACAAAACAGAAACTGCGTCCCGGCGCACGGGCCTCTCCCATCTGAGCGGGACCTCTCTTCTTGCCAGCCCCCCTTTGCTTTTAAATCGCAGTGGTTTTTGCAGAAGAAGGTCCTACATGTGTAGATGTCTAACTTAAAAAGCACGTAAATTAGGCTCAGATCAGAATTCCAGGGGCTCCGTCACGGCACCCAGGCCAGATGGGACTATCCGCCCCCAGCACTTCCTCCTGTGCGAGCCCTCGGAACCTTCTCAACACAGGGGCCAGGCAGCCCCCACCAATCCACCAGTGCAGCGAGGGGACACCTCCTGGCCAACACCCCCACAGAGGGACCCTGGCATCCACTGAGGAATTATTTTAAGCTGGGGGGGTGTCGCACGTCTGTCCGTGTGGACTGAGGCTGGAGGCACGGGGCCTTCGGGTGAGAGGGCAGCACCTCCCAAAACTGGGGGGGTGAGGGTGGGGCTCCTGCGACCTGCAGCGCAGTTGGGGCTGGGAACACTGGGCTTTGGCGGCGTCTCTCGGCCCGGGGTGGCCCACTCCCTCTCTTCTGGGTCTCCCCCACCCGCTGCCTGCCCGGGCCCAGGTGGGGAGGACTGGCACCTGCGGCTGGTCCAGGGCCAGGTGCACGAGTGCCCGTCCACACAGGGCCTGCACGTTCCCCGGCTCTGCCCGCAGCACGGAGTTGAAGTCGAACATGGCGGTCTTTTTCTGGCCCAGGAACCCGTAACAGCGGGCTCGGGTGAGGAGGGACTCGCTTGCCTGGCTCCCTGGAGGAAGGGGGCGCGGTGTCAGGGTGTCACTGCGGCTGGGCCCCTCGCCCAGTGTCCCGCCTGCTGCCCGGCCCAGGCCCACTGTGGGGAGCCCACACCCCACTGGGCACCGAGACACAGCTGGTCAGGTCGCCCTGGGGGCCGTGGGCGCGGGGTGGGAGGAGCCCAACCAGGAGGGTGACGTCTGGGATGCCTGGGGCAGCTGGGGGCTTCTGAGGGGAGGGGCACTGCAGCTGCCCTGAGGCCAGGGGAGGGTCCTCGGGCAGGAAGGTGTCAAGTGGCCTGGGGGGAGCCCCCTCCCCAGAGAGGATGCCACCACCACGCCCTTTCTGGGCGTCTGCCCGTGACGGACACAGGGAACAACGTGTGTGGCTCTGGCCACTCTGGGCCAGGTCCCTTCCTGCCAGCGCGTGCCTGTCTTGCACTCTGCGCCGGGCGCTGTCCAGTGCTGTCCAAGAACGAGCACATGTGACCCCCTTTCCACACAGGCTTCTATGTCACCCCACTGTGAGGAGAGGAGAGTGAGGAGGCCGGGCCAGGAGTCCACGAGCAGCCTGAGCTGATGCCCACACGTTCAAACTCCTGTGCCCCGGAACTCCTGCCAGTCCCTGGGGATGTCCCCTTCCCTCCAGCTCCTGGTGCCACACGCCATGGCTCTAAGAACGCCCAACTCCAGGTCACACAGGACAGGCCCCGCGCCCAGGGGCTGGCATGGGCCGTGCCCCTGTGCCTGATGTCCCAGGGTAGGGGCGTGGCGGGACGGCGTGGCCAGGTGGGGAGGTCGGGCGCACGCACACAAGGCCTCAGTCACTGCTTCCAGGAAGGGTCAGAGGAGCAGGGACCTCGTCTCCCCTCATCAGGGGTCAAGCTGGGGAAAGGGCCCCTCCACCCTCAGGGCTGGGGTTCATGGACGGCAGCCCAGGAGCCGGGGGGGGCATGGCTCGGGGCCCAGTGGTCCCGACCCCTCTCAGACCCTGGTACGTCCCATGGGGAGGCAAGATGCCCTCCGTGCGTGGCCCCTGCCCGCCCAGGCTGCGGTGCTCCGAGGCAGGTGCACCCGTGGAGGAGGCGTGTCCTGCTCCACACCCCCCCGCCCTTGCGTGGCACAGCCTGGGCCCCTGGGGACAGGCGGGAGGCTCCTACCTGCGGCGAAGATGGCCAGAGAGAGGTAGGCGATGGCCTCCCTGGTGTGGGCCCTGCTGTCGGCCGCGCCCGGCCGCTCCCGCAGGATGGCCAGGGCCCGCGCGTGGCAGTGGCCTCGCAGCAGCTGCCGGTCCTCCCGGCAGAAGACGTCCAGGGTGGGCTGCAGGCAGGCCGTGTCCCCGGACTGGACCACCTTCTTCACCAGCTGCAGGGGTGGAGCAGAGTTGCTGCCACCGCCGTCCCCTCTGTGTGCTGCCTGGGACCCCACCCCGCCGACACCCCCACCCCGCCCTTGCTGCCCCCACCCCACCCTCGCTCTGTTTCCAGTGGCCCGGTGGCTTTCTGTCTATTCGGAGCACGAGGAGGTTGGTCACGTGTTGCAGCCGTGGCCATTTGAGTCTCCAGGGCAATTTCTGTCCCCCACAGACGGGGGGTGGGGGGTGTCGCACAGAGGGGAGGGGCTGTGTGTCCCCAGCTTGGAGGGCAGGTAAAGGCCGGGATGGGGCGTGTGAGCACCGCTCTGTCCCCTCTGCAGTGTGGCAGGGGTGGCATGGGGGCTGTCAGTGAGCTTGAGCCTGGCCTTCTTCTCTGTCCCGTGGAGGTGGAGACCCTGCCTCAGTGGGCCCACGGGAGCGAGGTGCAGGCGAGGGGTAGGAGGAAGGAGCTTTCAAACCATGGAGTGACAGGGGCCCCAGGGAGTCGTTTAGCAGGTGCAGAGCAAAGGCCCAGGACAGCGAGCAGGACCAGGTCTGCCCTGGGGCAGCAGCGAGACCCCCAAGCGGGAGTAGCCTCCCCATCCCCTGCTCCGTCCCGGGAGAAACACTGCTGCCCCCTGCTGGCCACTGGTGGGCACGCGGACCGGAACGGAGCGAAGCGACAGCAGGTTCCAGGGCACCGTCCCGCCACGCTTTCTGCCTGGCGGAGGTCAGAGACCCACACCAGGCCAGAGGGGAAGGAAGAGGCTGACAGGGTCCTCACTGGAGTCCCAAAGCCTGAAATCCACCCCCCAGCATAACCTTTGACCCTGGTTCAAATCAGAGCCTCCCTAACACCTGAAGCAGGTGAGGCTCCGCCTTTCCTGGGAGCACGGGGGCTCGGAGGCAGGCAGGGACCCACCCGGTGCCCACCCCCAGTCAGGCTCGTGTCCAAGCCTAGTTTATGTGGGAAACTTGGGGAGAAACTCAGTCTACAATCTATTCTCTTGGCCTGTTTTCTTTTCTTTTCTTTCTTTTTTTTTTTTTTGGAGACAGGGTCTCACTGTGTTGCCTGGACATGAGAACAGTGTCACAATCACAGCTCACAGCAACCTCAAACTCCTGGGCTCAAGCGATCCTCCTGCCTCAGCCTCCCAAGTAGCTGGGACTACAGGTGCCACCGTGCCCGGCTAATTTTTTCTATATATTTTTAGTTGTCCAGTTAATTTCTTTCTATTTTTAGTAGAAACGGGGTCTCACTCTTGCTCAGGCTGGTCTCGAACTCATGAGCTCAAGCAATCCTTCCACCTTGGCCTCCTAAAGTGCTGGGATTACAGGCGTGAGCCACTGTGCCAGGCCTGACCTTTTTTCTTAAGAGCCACAGCAGCAGCAAATATGAAACACCTACTGTATGCAGGAAACCTGCTGGGCCCTGCGGGGAGTACCTGCTCCTGCTAGTTTCCTTTAACAACCTGTAAGACTGGGGCACAGATGAGGAGACTGAGGGTCAGAGAGGTGAGCTGCAGGTGGCAGAGCCGGGGCTGAACACCTTTGCCTATTCCAAAGTCCAGGCTCTGGGCAGCAGAGCGAGGGCCACAGGAGGCCTGTGCCCTCAGAGCTATGACCTCTGCAGCCCACCTAGGTCTCCTCACCTGGTTGGCGTCATAGAAGAAGCCCCTCCTCAGCTGCAGCAGGGCCAGCCGCACCAGCACGGGGGCTGCCTGGGGCCTCCGGGACAGGGCTACCAGCAGGGACTTGTGGGCGTCGTGAAGGCGGCCCAGGCGGTACAGGGCATCTGCTGCCAGGAGGCGCGAGTCCTCATCCTCCGCGTCCAGCTCCATCAGCAGCGTGGCCAGCTGGTGCACACCGTGGGCATCTCTGTGGGGAGAGCGGGCCGGCCCCTTCCTGACACCTGTGCTCACAGGTAAATCCTGTCCCCGTGCACCTGGCCTGGGCAGCTCCCTTCCCATGGGACTGCAGAGACCTGAGTCCCTCCCTCCATCCCCAGCACCCACGGCTGCCCGTCCTCACACACAGCCCTCGGCCCTCCCCTCTCACGCAACCTCCCCCCGCCCTGTGAGGCAGGCATTTTACAGATGGTGGAATCGAGGTCCGTAGGCAGTGAGTGGCAGGGTCTGCTCGGGGTCAGACCTGACCCCGAGCAGACCCTGCCTCCGTTTCCTTTTCTGTAAAACACAGGTTAACAACGTGGCCCGGCTGGGCTCAGGGTGTGTGGTTTGCAGCAGAACAGATACGCACAGGCTGCACCTGGGATGCTCCAGGTGCGTGGGGGCGCGCTGGGAGGTGGTGAGTTCTCACGGGGAAGGGGCTCAGGGCCTCAGACTTAACAGTTCCTGGAGGGAACAGGTAGAAACAGCCCAGGTCACACACGCGAACATTCCTCACCAGCAAACAAAATGAATCCAGCAGCCGCGAGGCAGAGGAAGTGTGCGCTGTGTGTGCGTGTGCGTGTGCGTGTGCACGTGTGTGCGGGGTCGGGGGCTGACATCAATGATGCCCCGCACCAAGGCTCCCAGTCTTGGGGCTTCTTTTACCTTTGCTAAAATGCCCTCCTTGCACCACCAGTAACAGGGCTGTGCAAATTAGAACAGCGGCAGGGTCACCCATTGGGATGGCCAAGAATTTGCACGATGAGCACCAGGTGGGAGGGTGGCCAGGGGGTTGGGGCGGCAGCCCCCAAGTCAAGAGTCCTATAGGGCGGTGCTCCCTGATCTGGGAACTCCGTGTGTCTCCATCTTAAGGCCGTTAACCACAGCGTGTTACGGGAGCAGCAAGCCCAGGGCCATGGGAGGATGACAGACAGGCTGGGACAGCGCCCAGCCTTGAACTACTGCATAAAAGATGGGCATGAACTGCGTATATAGCAGAAACTCAGTCTTGTGGCATGTTTTATATGCACAAAAAGAAAGGACTAGAAGGAAATGTTAATGGGTTGGTTGGATAATGGGCACGTTTTATCTTCTGGTTCCATTTTTGAGTTTCTCATTCTCTGCGGACAGGCAGCCACAGGACATCGTGCTGTTTGGGACTGAGGTGCCAGGGAAATCACCCAGTCTGCCCCGGGTGCCAGGGAAATCACCTGGCCACGCTGCCTCAGTTTATTCATCTGTAAAATGGGGAGAAACACGTCCCTCACTACCCCAAAGGAGACCAGAATGACAACAGCCCCGGAAAATGTGGGCTGGCTTTTACCCCTCCTCCTGCGCAGCTGGACAGGTCCCCGCAGCCCACGCGCGGCGCTGCAGCAGCTCGCGGCCCTGCTCCCGGAGCACGGTCAGCAGCAGCCCCCTCTGGTTCCAGGGCACATAGGCCTTGGCGGCCAGCAGCGCGTCCTCGGGCCGCAGCCTGCACGCGGTGACATAGTCCAGCATGCCCAGGAACGCGCTGCCCGCCAGCACCCGCAGCAGCCCACGGCCGCACAGCGCGCGCACGCAGCCGCCCGGTTGCGGCGCCCCTTGCTCCACCACCGCCTGGAAGTCCTCCTGGGCGCGCCGCGCGTCGCCGGCGTGCAGCGCGCAGAAACCGCGGAGCGCCAGCAGGGGCGCGCGGGCCGCAGCGCGGTCACCCGCACCGTCTCCGGGGCGCGCGGGCTGCAGCAGGCGCTCGCACAGTGCCCGGGCGCCCGCCGCGTCCCCGGCCAGCAGCAGGCACTCGGCCAGGCGGGCGCTCAGGGCGGGTCGCACCACGGTAGGTGCCAAGTGGAGCAGGACGCGGAGCGCGCGGGCCACCGGGGCCAGCAACTCGCGGCCCGCGTCCTCGCGGAGCTCGGGACGGTTGCGCACGGCCTCCTGGAAGCGGGCGAAGCCCTGGTCCGCCGCCTCCTGTGCCTGGGCGCGGACGCGCTCCTGGTCCTGGGCGGAGAGCACCGCCTGGAACTGCCGCCCCGCCTCGGAGGGGCTCTCGCAGAAGGCCTCGTGCAGGTCCCGAAGCATGTCCTGCGCCCGGCCGTCCAGGAAGAAGGCCGCGGCCGCGCGGGTGACCAGCAGGGCAGCCAGGCCCTCGCCTAGGGGGAGAAGCAGAGGCGTTAGTCCCGCCTGGTGGGCCCGCCGCCCGGGGATGCCAACCGTAGCCCCTACCCAGTCCAGGGCTTTGGACCCTCCGAAATACTTCCCCAGGGACTCTCCCTCCAGTCTCCAGTAGCCCAGGACAAGGACACTGGGCCGAGAGCCGGCAGGAGGCCCGAGGTCCTGCAGTGACCCAGCAGGTTAGAACCAGCCCGCGCCCTGCTCCAGGACCTGCAGCCACGCGCACCTCTCAGCCCAAACGGAAGTTTTGTCACAAGCCCTCTTTCCCCTGAGGGTGCAGTGGTGGATTTTAGGGATTGAGTTTCCTCTTCTGGGAATCCGCACGCCCCGCCCCCAAGTCAGAGCTGAGGGGCTGGCCTGGTGACCTTTGCAGGGGAATGTGTTCCTGGGGCCGCTTTGTCTCCGGCCTTCGCTGGGCTGTGTTGGGACCCGATGCTTCCCGATGCTTCCCTTTTTGCAACGGAGCGCTCCCCGGTCAGGTCTAGGACAGGAGGGGCGTGCACTGCGCCTGGAGCGAGTGCACCGCGCGCTGCGTCTCAGGCGTCCGCTTCCTCGTCTGCACTGCAGTGGAGGTCGCAGCGATCCGCACTCCCAGGGCGCGAGGGTTAAATAGACCGCATCCCCGGGCTGGAACAGGCCTGGTGCTCAGTGTGACTCGGCGGCGAGGGCTCTGCAGCCGAAGCTGCCACTGCACATTGTCACCTGCTGTGTCTGAGCAACTTAAACGCACTCTGGGGATGGGGCCGTCTGGCCAGTGAGGAAGCTCGGCTGCCCCATCCCCAGAAGGGCCCCAGGCAGGGCGTAAACCGTGGGGGGAGTCACGGCACACTCGGTGCTGGGAGGAGGTCAAGGTCAT